TCAGAAAAGGACACGTATTGGTTTTATGTCTGCAATGGGACTATTTAGTCAGATATTCAGAGAGCTTTTTCCCACAGATATTTTTATGGGGGTCACTGTTTTATCCTCCTTTCCATGAACTTTGGTTTGTTTTAAGAGTTCTCACGCGAGGAACCGTGCCCAGGTCACGAATGAAAGAGGGCATTTCAACTTGATGGAAATGTATAATTGAGAATCTTGGTTTTCCCATCCTTCCTTCTCAAGTTGGAAGAAATGCCCCTTAGCAAGTAGTGCTAAGAGTTAGCCTGAGCTGCATGTTTGGGAATTTGGACCTGGGAAGGCTGGCCCATTCTCAGAAGGGGGGCTGGGAGCTTCTAGGCACTCCCATTTCCCATTCTTTGGAGAGTCTTGGTAATGATCAAATGTACCTGGGGTACATTTGAACTAACAAATAGTTTTCCTGTGCTTTGGGTTTTTTTTTTTAGTCTTGAGCCAGCCCTTGAGACTTAGCTGTTGACCTACCTGGGTCAGGTTACAAGAATGTGGCCGTGCCTTGTAGAAAAAGGAGATCCAGAGAGCCCTGGGTTGGTAACCAGAAAGCTGCATCATGTCACCCTTGTCACTTAAGTCCTGTGTAATATTTAGGCAGCTCAGTTAACCGTCTGTGGGCCCCCATTTTTCTCACTGTTAAGGGGCTCTCCTTTCAGCTTCCCTTAGGGGGTGCAAATGAGAATTACACAAGAAAACGCTCTGCGGTCTGGAATCCTTGAGCAGATAGAAGGTGGGGATGGTGTCCCTTTGAGAGCCACAGAGCCCTGTCTTGGCCAAGGTGATGGAAGTCCTGGCTGGGTCTTGGTCATGGAAATAAAAGCTTGAATTGCAGTGGATGAAGTTGGAAATCTTAGCCAAGGTTGGCAAGCCTAATGTATTCCTCAGAGTATTCCCAAAAGAAGGAACGGTGCTTTCCATGACAGAAACTTCAGACCATCACTCAGACAGTTATGGCTGGGTTCCAAATAGCCATAGCCCTGCCCCATAACCTGGATGTACAACCAGCTCATTTATCTGCAATCATCTCACATATTATTCTCCCGGAATCTTTACTTAGGAAAATTAACTCACAGGTTCACAACCTGCTATGTAGAGTTCTGTGCTTCCCTTTTTTCTTCCTTAAGCTGATCTCTCTTACTCTAGAACTTTCAGAAGTAGTCTCCTGATACCCATATTCCTTTTCTGAGTTGAAAATTTTAGTAGCTGGCTGTTCACGGTGTGCTGTTTTTTCCTGAGTACCTTCCAAATCTTTTTCCTCATTGTAGGCTTTCTCTATTCATCCTCATTCTTTTCCTTATTGCCCTTCCTTCAAGCTGTTTACGTGAAGCACCCAAGATGTAGACATCAGAGATACGGGGTCAAGTGCTACTGTAGCTTTAGGAGAGTTATCCCAATTTAGAGAGAATCACTTGTTTTTGAAAACCATTTTGTCTCATCTAGAAACCAAAAAAAAAAAGAACAACCCTTAAAATTATGATTTATTTTCTTAAAAGATGGCTATTTTTTTACCTGCATGAGGTACCCCATGCAAGTACATTCTGAGTGTCCATTTGAGTTCTCCTCTCCTTATAAGTAAGGCCCAGAGCAAAGAGGTTTAAGTTGCCAAAGGTGTCTTGGACTGAGACCTTCAGTTTGCTCCTTAGATTTGCCCAAAAGCTCATTTGAAAGGAGCTGACCTAAGGAGGGTATGCACCCTAGACTTGGGTGTGGGTGTTTGAATTATTCAGGTTGTGTGTGCCTTGGGGCCCTTTCAAACTGGAATCAAGGAGTAAGAAATGTCTTGTGGTTTTTTTAAACTGCCTTCTCTGGAGGAAGTTTAAGAAGGCCCTTTCTTGGGGTGCCTGGGTGGCTTAGTCAGTTAAGCGGCCAACTCTTTTTTTTTTTTTTTAAGATTTTTTATTTATTTATTTGACAGAGAGAGACACAGCGAGAGAGGAAACACAAGCAGGAGGAGTGGGAGAGGAAGAAGCAGGCTTCCCACTGAGCAGGAGCCCAATGCGGGGCATGATCCCAGGACCCTGGGATCATGACCTGAGCTGAAGGCAGACGCTTAATCCTGAGCTACCCATGCGCCCCTAAGCGTCCGACTCTTGATTTCGGCTCAGGTCATGATCTCGGGGGCATGAGATCGAGCCCTGCCTTGGGAGTCTGTTTGGGATTCTCTCCGTCCACCCCCCCCCCCCCCCCCCCCCCCCTGCTTGCTCACTCTCTAAATAAATAAATAAATAAAATATTTTTTTAAATGGCCCTTTCTTGGTGGCTAAGTGGTGGGAGTCTTGAGGGGTGGAGGTAGGTAGTGGTTGAGAAGTGAGGGGAGAAATGGGGGTGGCGATGGGGGAGCTGCTTACTGGGTCAGCTGAGGGCTCCCACATAACTTTGTCATCTGCCTTCTTTTCTAGATATGCAAAAGCTTTAGGGGTGTTGGGGTATGGGATAGGGGATTTTTTTTTTTTTTAAGATTTTATTTATTTATTTGACAGAGAGAGACACAGCGAGAGAGGGAACACAAGCAGGGGGAGTGGGAGAGGGGGAAGCAGGCTTCCAGCCGAGCAGGGAGCCCGATGCGGGGCTCGATCCCAGGACCCCGGGACCACGACCTGAGCTGAAGGCAGACGCTTAACGACTGAGCCACCCAGGCGCCCCAGTTGTTGTTGTTGTTGTTGTTTTTTTAAACATCTTTTACTGCTGTGTCTATAACCAAAGCTATTCAGCAGTGGTAAACACAAGCAACTAGATAGGGATCTACTAGACAGATTTTAAGAGACACAAAAGAACTTGTGAATTCCAACCCATCTAATCTGGGCTGTCCAGCATGTGATAACTTAGCAGCATTCTCAGCATGACAAACATTTCTACCTTGGGACTAGTTGTTAGAACCCAGTAAACCTAAAAATCCTCTTATATTAAAAAATAATAAACACTACCCTTGATTAAAATGGGCACCCAGCTTTGTTTCTAGAGGTCGGAGGAGAGTGGCTACCATTTGACTTGGTGGCCTTGGAACCTCATTGACTTGGTGGCCTTGGAACCCAGCTCTGCCCTTTAACAGCGACTTCTTTAAAACCGTTTCCTCAGGTATAAAATGGGAATAAAAGTAACAGCACCTACTTCATAGATTCACCATATCAAAGAGGATACTACACTGTGCCTGGAATGCAGTAGTTCTTAGGAATTCTAAATATAGATTCTCAGTTGTAGAATTAGCCTGATAAGAAAATTCCTTACAGTGTATTGCCGAATGGCTTGTCTTTTATTTATTTGTTTATTATTATTTTTTTTATGGCTGTCTTTTAATGTTGAGCTTATCTAAATGGTTGTTCTTGTGGTCGGTCATCTATCTCAGTAGTGGTAGAACTCTGGAGTTATATCCAGCAAACTATTTTATTACTCTTTCTTCTTTTCTGCTGTTGCCCACAGCCTGAAATCTATTCTTGGCCTTTGATATTTCACGAAAATGTCATTTTCATTTCCCTTTTTCATTTTGCTATAAACAGCAGAGCTCTTCAGTATGCAGTTTGAGTTTTGACAAATGTATGCATCCATGAAACCCTCGTCCAGGCTGAGACATACATAGTACATTTCTATGCCCTAGAAAGTTCCCTCCTGCCCTTTTCCAGTCAAAACATCGATCCCTATCATTTTCAGATTTCTAGGTCCTAGATTAATCTTGCCTTCTTGAACCTGACATAAATGGAATTTCAGGTCTTCTTCTTCTCTCTCTCTTTTTTTAAAAAAAATTTATTTGAGAGAGAAAGAGAGCGTGAACATGAGGGGGTGGGGGGGGAAAAGTGGGAGAGGGAGAAGCAGATGCCCTGCTGAGTGGGGAGCCCGACGTGGGGCTCGATCCCAGGACCCTGGGATCATGACCTGAGCCGAAGGCAGATGCTTAACAACTGAGCCACCCAGGTGCCCCAAGGTTGTCATCATCATCTTCTTTTTTTTTGTAAATACTTTTTGTTCCTTTGAAGTAATCACTACACCCAACTTGGGGATCAAACGTAGGACCCCAAGATCAAGAGTCACGTGCTCCTCTGACTGAGCCAGCCAGGCGCCCCTGAGGTCTGTCTTTCATGCACAGTGTTGTAGTGTTGCTGCGAGGAGAAGTCATTTCCTTTTTTATTGCTGAGGGTTATTCCATTGATGACTATACCACAGTTTGATAATCCATTCTTCTGTTGATGGTATTTGGGTCATTCTCAGTTTTGGGCCAGTCAGTTAAAGCCGGTGTGAGGCTTTCCATTTTCTGAATATTTGGTGTGGTTAGTGTCTCCTCCACCTCCTAGCCCTGCAACCCTGGGCAAGCATCTTAATCCATCTCCCTTGCCTTGTTTTCTTCATCTGTTAAATGGCGGGTTGAGAAACAATTCAGGGTTGGGACCACCATATTCTAAAAAATGAAATAGAACAAAATGGAAAATTTTTGTGAATTACATGGCAACTCACAGTTGTAACACACATATAAATACAGTTACATGTGTTTACTGGGTCACGATATAAAATGTATTTGCTATGAATTGTGAGCAAATCAGTTTGCAACACACTGATTTGTATGTGTGTCCTTACAAGCAAGGAAGTTGCACACCTGTGAGGTTATTTAGTAAATGCATCTCTTTGCCCTCAGGTGTCTATAAGACAGCCACACTATTTACAGTCATTTATGTACTGCTTCCTATGGACCAGCCACTGTTTCCAAAGCTTTACATATAAAATCGTAGAGCCCTCGCAACCATCCTATGAAGTGGGTAATTGTCCCCATCTTATAGATGGAGAAACTGAGACGTCAGTTATACAATTTGCCCACAGTCACAGAGCTAGAATGGTAGTGCCCTGATTTGAACCTAGGCAGTACAAGTCTAGAGTCTGTGTTCTCAACCACTATTCCAGAGAAGAAAAAGAGGCAAGTGACATATGTCCGCAAATGCAAATTAATAATTATCTAATTAATACAATGCTCCTCCTTTTTATTCCAGATATGAGAAATGAGTGTTGGACGTCGAAGAATAAAATTGTTGGGTATCCTGATGATGGTTAATGTCTTCATTTATTTGATCGTGGAAGTCTCCAGAAGTAGCAGCCAAGAAAAAAATGGAAAGGGGGAAGTAATAATACCCAAAGAAAAGTTCTGGAAGATCTCAGACCCCCCTGTGGCGTACTGGAACAGAGAACAAGAAAAGCTGAACAGGCAGTACAATCCCATCTTGAACGCGTTGGCCAACCACACGGGGGACGTATACGGGTTTTCCAACATAAGCCATCTAAACTTTTGTGAACCTGACCTGAGGGTCATGTCAGTGGTTTCAGGTTTCAGCAATTTGCCAGACAGATTTAAAGACTTTCTGCTGTATTTGCGATGTCGAAATTATTCACTACTTATAGATCAACCGGATAAATGTGCAAAGAAACCCTTCTTAATACTGGCGATAAAGTCCCTCATCCCACATTTTGCTAGAAGGCAAGCAATTCGGGAATCTTGGGGCAGAGGAACCAATGTGGGGAACCAGACGGTGGTGAGAGTCTTCTTACTGGGTCAGACCCCGCCTGAGGACAACCACCCAGACCTGTCAGACATGCTGAAATTTGAGAGTGAGAAGCACCAAGACATTCTTATGTGGAACTACAGAGACACTTTCTTCAACTTGTCCCTGAAAGAAGTGCTCTTTCTCAGGTGGGTGAGCACTTCTTGCCCAAATGCTGAGTTCGTTTTCAAGGGCGATGACGATGTTTTTGTGAACACCCATCACATCCTGAATTACTTGAATAGCTTACCCAAGAACAAAGCCAAAGATTTGTTTATAGGTGATGTGATCCACAATGCTGGGCCCCATCGGGATAAGAAACTGAAGTACTACATCCCAGAAATTGTTTACACTGGCGTCTATCCGCCTTATGCGGGGGGAGGTGGGTTCCTCTACTCTGGCCACCTGGCCCTGAGGCTGTATAACATCACTGACCAGGTCCTTCTTTACCCCATTGATGATGTTTATACTGGAATGTGCCTTCAGAAGCTCGGCCTCGTTCCGGAGAAACATAAAGGCTTCAAGACATTTGATATAGAGGAGAAAAACAAGAATAACATTTGTTCCTATGTAGATTTGATGTTAGTACATAGTAGAAAACCTCAAGAGATGATTGATATTTGGTCTCGGTTGCAAGATGCTCATTTAAATTGCTGAAATACATACAAACTAAGTTCTGCATAGAAAGACCTATTTTGAATAGTTCCCATGTTGTGTTCTTTCACATTAGCGGTAACTTCTATGTTAAACCATCAAAATTGCCTTTATTAGTAGTATCCATTTGAGGACCTCTAAACCCTCTAGTGTTGGTACCTTCTGAAGAGGGAAAGCAGAAGATTATAATTTTTTTATGGAGGATGTGGTGGGATGATTGGTTCTGATCCTTCCTGTGGCTAATGGCCATTATTTTCTAATTTGCCTCCCTTCTTATCTGAAATCATAAGTTTCTGGAATTTGACCATTTTAGATTATTTATGTTTTGCCCTCATATCATCATATTCCTACTTTCCATTATAATGAGTGAATTATCTGCAATTTATGTGTTTATAAACTTACTGGCTACAAAGACTTTGTTTTATACGATCCAGTGGTTTTTGTTGAATGGAATACCATTTATTTTCATGAAATTTGGATGAATTTTTTCAATTGTCTAGAAAAATTAACTTCTGTCATAATTTCCTGCCACCCCAACAGTATTTTCTTGTGTTAATCAGGTCAGTTAATTTTGCAAAACGAGAACCAGTGTATAACATTTATCCGGTTTACCTTGTTATGGTCTTAGGGGGCCGTATTAAGGAGAAAGTTTAACTGTTCTTGTATTTGGTTTGCTGGGGGGTATCATGATAGTTCTCAAATTTTAGTATTTGACGGTAATGAGTATGATTCTGTAATGGTCAGATGAAAATTGAATTGACCGAGGAAAGCATATGTCATTTCTGAACTTTAAGTGAAAAGATGGAAACTGCAGACCTTCTCATGAGTGGATTGTTAGTTTAAAACTCCAGGATTCTGTTCTTGCCATATTTTCACATGCCGCTTATACAAAATTATTCTGAGTAGTGACTGCTTCCCTGTCTCAGTGTAGAGTGCCTGTGTTTTTATTTATTGTTCAGATCAAAGACCAAAACATTTTCTTAAATATATTTTGTGTAATATTTTATTTGTATACAGTGTTGTTGATGAAATATTTAACTAGAGCATGGTATTTTAAGTGTTAAGGTGTAACATATGTTAAATAAAGCTAACTGTTATTTTTGCATTTTAAAACTTGGCTTTTTTGTGGGGGTGGGGGGCTCTGAACTACTAGAGTTGATATAATTCTGCCAAACTGTTGCTTACATATACTATCTTGTAACATGCTTTCTTGAAAAATTTTTGTGTTTATAGAGATGATGCCTCTTACCACATGTGATACTGGGGACTGTAAGAAGATGGAAATAAAGTCACTGTATTTTTAATTGGCATGTGTAATAATCTGTGATCTCTTTTTGTTTCCTTTGTTTGATTACATTTTCCCAAAAGAGACCATTTCCCCCCAGAAACTATTACTGTAGTATAATAACTTTTTTTATATAGTAGAATATAACTTTTTCTCTGTCTCAGTGGGTTCTCTGTCTTTGCATTTAAAATTCTTAGAAGTGCTTTCCCATCTAGAGTCTTGAAAGAGGAATATAAATATTTATGCTTCCATTTGTGGTGAGTAGAAAATGTAATTGGAAATAAAGCAGCACCTTTTTAAATTTTTTTGAGTGTAGTTGACATACCATGTTAGTAAGTTTTAGGTGTACAACATAGCGATTAAACTTCTTCATACATTATTCTGTGCTCATCACAAGTGTAGCTTCCGTCTGTCAACCATACAACACTATTATTATATCACTGACCATATTCCCTGTGCTATACCTTTTATCTTTGTGAATTTTATTCATTCCATAATTGGAAACCTGTATCTCCCTCTCCCCTCCCCCCATCTTGCCCATCCTCCCACCTTCTTCCCTCTGACAACCATCAGTTATTCTCTGTGTCTATGGGTCTGTTTCTATGTTTTGTTTATTCGTTTGTTTTTTAGATTGTACTTTTAAGTGAAATCATATGGTACTTACTTGACTTAGCATAATACTCTCTAGGTCCATCCGTGTTGTCACAGATGGCGAGATCTCATTCTGTGTTATGGTTGGGTAATCCATTGTGTGTATGTTACCACATCTTTACCCCTTCATCTATGTGCTGACACTTGAGTGTCGTATCTTGGTATCTGGACCTTGGCTACTGTAAATAGTACTGCAGTAAACAGAGAAGTACATAGATCTTTTCTAATTAGTGTTTTTGTTTTCTGTGGGTAAATACCAGTAGTGGGATTACTGGATCGTATGGCATTTGTAATTTTTTGAGGAACCTCCATACTGTTTTTCCACAGTGGCTCCACCAGTTTGCGTTCCCATCAGTGGTGCATGAAGGTTCCTTTTTCTCTGCATCCTCGCCAAAACTGGTTATTTCTTGTCATTTTGATTCTAGCCATTCTGGTAGGTGTGAGGTGCTCTCTTATTGTAGTTTTGATTTGCATTTCCCTGATGATTAGTGATGTTGAGCATCTTTTCATATGTCTGTTGGCCATATGTAGGTCTTCTTTGGAAAAATGTCTATTCATGTCTTGTGCCCATTTATTAATGGGATTTTTTTTGGGGGGGTGGTATAGAAGTTCTTTATATATTTTGGATACTAACCCCTTATTGGATATATCATGCAAATATTTTCTCCTATTCAGTAGGTTGCCTTTTTTGTTTTGTTTTGTTGATGATTTCCTTGCTGTGCAAAAGCTTCTTATTTTGGTGTAGTCCCTATAGTTTGTTTTGCTTTTCTTTCCCTTGCCTCAGGAGACCTATTAGAAAAATGTTGCTACGGATGTCAAAGAAATTACTGCCAATGTTTTCTTCCAGGATTTTTATGGTTTCAGGTCTCACATTTAGGTTCTTAATCCATTTTGAGTTTATTTTTGTATATGGTGTAAGAAAGTGGTTCAGTTTCATTCTGTTGCGTGTAGCTGTCCAGTTTTTCCAGCGCCATTTGTTGAAGAGACTGTCTTTTCCCATTGTATATTCTTGCCTATAAAGGGGCATCTTAAAAGACTGTATTATCCTAATCCATGTCCATGTTGGGGTTTGTGTCCTTTTTAGCAATGGGATATACTGGGTTTTAGAGCTTTACATGTGCATTGGGCTCCATTATGATTACCAACTGATCTGTAAGGACACGAAGCCTTCTCTTGGTGCTTACAAGATGGATTCTCCCTTGAGCCTCCACCTCATGGATGTAAGCATCACAGTCTAATTCACTGAGAACTGCTCAATTGAGGCTTCAGCAGAAACACATTTGGACCTTTTTCTTGGCTACTCCCAAATCATGTTGATTTTATGTTTGAAGGTCAAGGCCGAATGAGCATTGCCTGGTTTTAAATTTTCATGAACCCAGGCAGGTGTTAAGAGGAAAAGGATGAAGGAGACTTCCTTGACCCTGGTTTCCTTTCTTGATTTGGTCAAGGGAGAATGGAAAAGAAGGGCAAGAGGTTGAAGGAATACTTTGCATCCCCTGGAAGTTGAATCCAAATTTAAAGGCCTCCCCGAGTGTGACCATCTGCTATTACCCCGACCCTGACCGAGAGTGGTCTAGAATATTTGGTGTTCTGGGTTGTCTTGGTTTCCTCGGATGCAGAAAGGGGAAAATGCATTTATTAAGGCAAAGGATGACTTATTCTCACTTCCAGGAAAAGTGAAATGAATGAAGCCTTTACTTGGGCCAAATGTTAATTCAATATGATTTGCCTTCTTACGAAAAATCAGATGAAGTAAAAATTCTTGTTCAGAATAGTTGAAAACATTTCTCATGCTCTGGGCTGTGATTATTGGGTAAATTCAGTTTTTCCTTAATGTTAATTGTATATTGGTTATATTTTTTAAATGCTAGGAACATCTGCCAAGTAGTCTTGAAGCAGAACTTCACCTTGTTAGAGTTAACAGTAGATCTAAAAAATTGAAGTATTTGTCCTGATTCATTCAGTTCTTAAAGTAATGCTTTGGAAAGAAGAGGCCAAGAATGAGGCATTTTTTTTATATTTAAGGAGCCAAAAAATCTGGTCACATTGGATATGAATTATTAATTTTAAGATGTAATATTTTATTTACCATTAAAAGTCAGTTCAATATGATTTATATTGTATGATATGCCTCAATTGCAGAGATATTAAAATGTGAAATATTACATCTTAGAATAGAAATACAGCATTACTGTGTGTGCTTTATAGCATATATATATGTGCGTATATGCAACTCAAATGGAAAAAACTCTTAAATTGAAAAAATGGAGTCCTTTTGAGGAATACTTTCTGCTTCTCTCACTTTTTTGTGTGACTTTCCCCGTTTAGCAATTTCTACCCAAGAAACCATGGTGGCTTTTGAGCTTTGGCAGTTGCTTTCTTCCTACCTAGTGTGCATTGTGAAAGGGGAGGTTTGATTGCACTGGCTTCAAAGCAGCAAAAATAAAGTTTCTAATTTGATTGTAATCCAAGGGCTTATTTCTAAGTCAGAGGCCTGGTGGTTGAACAAAGGTGCTTGTGGCTTCCCGACAGCTGCCCTGCATCAGGGAAATGCTGTCGTCCTCGTCATACTCAAGCATAAGCCACATGAAGAAATTGCATCCTGAGTGTTAGCAAGGGCTTCTCATTGCCCTGGTAACCTACCATCTGTGACATGCCTTTTCTTGGCCTGTCTTCAACTAACATCCCCTTCCTGTTCATCACCAAGCTCCTCCCCAGACTGGCTACCCTGACCATTCTGTTGAAATGTCATCAGTAACCCTGATCCTTGCACCAACCTGACCACCTCTTGCAGCAAAATGAAAAAATATTCTGCCCTTGGTTTGGGTTCTTCCAGAAATAGACCTTAAGAGAAGGATTCTACCACGAGTAGTTTTTTGGGTACACGGTTTGGGGAGGAGGTGGTGTTGGGAAGGAAGGCAACCAACAAGGAGTGTTGTTAAGCCAACTGCTACCACGGAGCTGGAGCTCAGCCCATGGGACATCTCTGGAGAACAGTGTGGAAAACATGCCCCAGAATGATCCCTCTTAAGGCTGAGGGGGCTGGGCTATTGTAAAGCGATTATAGCTTTATTGAGGTATAATTTTCCCACCAAGATAGTGACCCATTCTGAGTATACAATGATTTTTTTAGTCAATTTGTGCTGTAACTTGCACTGCAATCCAATACAAAAATAATTTGGTTTCCAGCAGTGCGCCCTGAGGTCCTGCCCATCTGTCTCTTTCTTCAACAGTGTTTGGACAGAACAGACCCAGGGACTCCCCTTCTACCAGCCTCCAACCCCCTTCCAACCTCTTTTCCAATGACAACCTTCAGAGCCATCTTCTCAGCCATCCTCTGCCTCCGGGACCAGCCAACACGCTATTTTGAGTTTAGCTCCTTATTACCGATCAACCGCGAGCTCCCAGATTCCTCAGAATTATTCCACTGAGGTGGAGGCCGCCGTCACCCGCGTGGTCAGCATGCATCTGCAGGCCTCCTACACCTGCTTCTCTCCGGGTTTCTATGTTGGCCTCCACGATGTGGCTCTGGAGGGCGTGGGCCACTTCTGCATGTTGGCCGAGG